ACCACCCTCCCTTCATAGGATCCACACCCGATCCACTATAGTATAGTATATCCCATATCCATCTTGGTGAATCCAGGTAAGGGTGGATCCGAGGTAAGTCTTGGTGGATCTTGCCTTCTCGTACATCGCTCATACCAGATCCATCGTCATTTCATACGGGGTGCTGCTCGTCATGGCTAATCCACCACAGGCAACTTGCATCCGTGCCAGCCAACCCAAATCCTCTCTAATCACTTGAAATTATCACTGATTCGGGATAGTGACCCCGCGTCAGGCCCATTCTCTTATTTCTGAGAAAGCACTTCACCACAGTACCACGGTACCACACGAGGCCACGAGTGCCTCGGATGTCGTAGCGCCGACATCACAAGACGCGGGCAGCAAAGCTCGACGTCACGGTTGCCGTCGTCAACGACGCCGCCGCCGCCTCAAGTCGGATCCGAACTTCGTTCCGATCGACGTCGCTCCAAGCGACTCGGAGTCCAGGGCCCGGGCTCCTCCGACAAGGCCGGGTGGAAAGAGTGCTGTCACATCTTCGATGGCGAGACCGGTTTACCCGTCAAGGCATCTGGTGTCCACTTGGAACCGTTGCCAGAGGTTGCAGAGATACTGAACCTCGAGGAAATGACGGCTGAGTCTTTCCTGGCCAACCTCAAGGCTGGAGAGATCGCTGAGATGGTACTCATGAGACCTGAGACCACTCAGGAGGAGCTGAACTCCTCCTCTGTCTTGGACGAGAACGTCCTGGAAGACATGAACAAGCAGCGTCAGGCGCGCTTGGGTTCTGAGATTCTCAAGAACCCCAAGGATCCGGTGTATCCTTTGGTGACGGAGTATGCGGACGTGGTGAATAAACACCCACCGACCCAACTCCCACCGGATCGAGGCGTACGGCACGAGATTGATCTCGTGCCCGGCACAAAGTATTGTGTCACGAGGCAATGGCCTCTCCCGCGCGAACAGTGCGAGGTCATTGATGCCTTCTTCGCCGCGAAAGCGAAGGCAGGCACGGTGCGGGAGTCGAAATCCCCGCACTCGACGCCGACTTTCTGCGTTCGTAAGCCGAACGGAAAGTGGCGTCTGGTTCACGCTTATAACAAGCTGAACAACGCAACGGTGCCGGCCCAAACACCGATCCCACGAAAGGATGTGTTGTTGAACAACATGGCCGGGAGCGTACTGTACAGTGCGCTGGATTTGGTAGACGGATACTACCAAATCCTGATGCGAGAGAGTGACATTCCGCTCACCGCGGTAAGCACTCCAAGCGGCATGCTTTGGGAGTGGCTCGTCATGCCACAGGGCTTGTCTAACGCCCCGGCGACGCTCAATCGCCTGGTGACGCAATTGTTCCGCCCTTTGCGTACCTTCGTACAGACGTACTTCGACGACATTTTCGTCCATAGCCGTGCCGAGGGAGGCAAGACGGCCATGGAGGTGCATCTAGGACACCTCCGTCGAGTGTTGGACGTGATGCGAGCGAACAAGCTCTACGCCAACATCGACAAGTGCGTTTTCGCGTCACCAGAGATCAAAGTTCTCGGTCGGCTTCGTAAGCAACGTGGGCGTTCGGGCTGACCCAGACAAGGTCAAGGCCATAGCAGCATGGCCGACGCCCCGATCCCAGAAGGATCTTCGAAAGTGGTTGGGTTTGGCCAACTACCTTCACAAGTACAGCGCTGGGTACGCGGGCTTCGCTAAGCCCTTGTCGAGCCTCCTTCAGAAGGACGTCGACTGGCGCTGGGAGCAAGAGCACCAGGATGCTTTTGACAGCATCAAGGCCAGTCTCCAAGAGGCCCCTGTCCTGGCTCTGCCGGACGAGACGAAGCCGTTTAGCGTCGTCTGCGATGCCTCCGATTACGCCATCGGGTGTGCATTGCTGCAGGACGACACGGCTGGACAGGAACGAGTCATCTCATTCCAGTCCAGGCAGCTCAAAGCCGCCGAGCGGAACTACCCTGTCCATGACAAGGAGCTCCTGGCAATGAAATATGCCCTTGTGAAGTTCCGTGTTCACCTTCTGGGCTCTAGGCCCTTTGTGATCTACACAGACCACGCGTCCTTGAGGACGGCGACTAACTCGCCTCACCTCTCCCAACGGATGGCGAGGTGGCTGTCCTTCTTCGCGGAATATAACTTCCGCGTCGAGTACAAGCCGGGCAAGCTCAACGTGCTTGCGGACGCCCTCTCTAGGCGTCCCGACTATGAGTTGGCCCACATCACGCGGGTGACAACGGATCTATATGATCGGATACGCATGGCGTATCGGGACGATGAGGCTGTCGCGCCTATCGTCAAGTTCCTTAAGGCCGGAACGAGCGCGAAGTCCGACTGGCTCTCGTCGCGACAGCGCTCACGGCTCCACCGATATGAGTTGAAGGAGGGCCTCCTCTATTATCGGGTGGAGCCCACTGATCCTCCACGGGTGGTCGTACCCAACGACGAGGATCTGAAGTTCGACATCCTCGCGGAGGCGCATGCCGCGCCCTCCAGCGGCCACTTGGGCCGCGAGAAGACCTTTCTGTCGGTCTCTCAGTCCTTCTGGTGGACCCA